GGCAGCTCCTGGGGCTGCAGCAGGGAGCAAAGCGGAGGGAACTGTCAGTGTGTGCGGGGTGGGCACGTCTCTTGCTGCTACACACACCCTGGGAGAGTTGGGGACTGGAGGGCTGCACCAGGCTCTTCCCAGGGGGCATGTGCCCCCATATCTGTATGCAGGACAAGGGCAGGCTGCTGCGGGCAGGGGCCAGTGGTGGCACCAGCCCTTCCCAGTGGGGGGCTGGGGCTGGGCCGTGCTGCACTCGGAGCAGGCAAGTGGTGTTGGGAGGGGGGCTGTAGCACCCCCACCCCAGCACCACCCTGCCCGCCCCAAGTGCAGCACGGCCCAGCCCAACCCCTGCTGGGAAAAGCTGGGTGCTGCCACTGGCCCCAGCCTACAACAGTAGCTTGCCCTTGTCCCACACAGATCTGGGGAGACCCTCCCCCCCAGGAAAAGCCCGGTGCAGCCCCCCAGGGTGCACATAGCAACAAGAGCCGCACCTCTTCCATCCCGCACCACACACCCACTGACAGTTCCCTCTGCTTTGCCCCAGGAGCTGCCAATGCTACCTGCCTGCAGCCACTGGGCTGCACCTTGCCCCTCCCCCTAGAGATTTACCTCGCATATAACCAATTTACCTCGCAAGTAATGAACTTAGTGTGTAAAAACAGTAATCACATAAGAACAAATTCCCATATACAGAACCCTGCATAAAGTGAGGGAAACCTGTAATATTAGGGATATAGTGAGAAGTGGATTGCTTGCCCTTTTAAAAAACAAAGGGTGAATTCAAACCAAACAAAGCCAGGACAGTTATGAAGCAGGAAAATAAGGCCAAAAAAAAATCTAGCTTCTACATAATGAACTATACAAATGGGAAGTGAGACTTCACAGTTCAGGTGGACTGAAGTTTCTGAAGGGGTAACTAAGGTGTTTGACAATTGCTGAAATTGAAGGAATACTTTTAAAATAGATTTCTGGAAATATTAAGGAAGGGTAGGATGATACATAATGTCTGTCCAGGCTGTAGGGTAGGATTAAGCCAAGAGTGTTGAACACATCTGACCCTGTAGGTTGAATGAATGGTGCAGGGCTGGTTCAAATGCTGCATTTGACCCATGGGCCTACCCCACGTGCCCGATTCAGCAGAGACACCACTCACTTTAGGACACAGCACCCACCCCAGCCAGTCTGGGATCAGCATTGTATGCAGCATGTCTTGGACTGGCTGGTACAGGTGCTATGTGCAGCGTGGATCCCAAAGCAGCTGGAACATGTGCCATGTGCAGTGCGGTCTGGGTAGGGAAGGTGTCACATGGATCACGGACTAGCCGAAACAGGCACTACGTACAGCATTTGTCGTGGGCTCTGTGTGCAGGGCTGGTCCAGCCCAAAAACTCAAACCCTGGGGGCCAGATGGCAGGGGCTCTCCAGATGGCAGTGCCCGGGGCCAGATGGCAGGGCTCTACAGGCCACATTTGACATCCCCTCAAGTAAACTATGAACAGTTCAGATTAGGTAAGTGCGTCTTGCAAAGCATCCATGAATGGAAGTCACACATGCAGCCCACTGTGAAATAATACATTAGTCAGAAGTGTACTACTTATTCAACTCCAAGGGCTCCTATTATTTTGTATCATGTATGCACTACAAAACAAATTGTAGGCTCACCCCCAAATAAAAGTTGGCTTAGAATAGCTATATAATTTATACTTTGCAGAGACAGAATACAGTCCTCAAAGGGTCAGGGTACTTCCCAAAGACCTCTCTTTGATAATTTTCTCCCCTCCTAAAAATTAGAGGAACAGCAGAATAAGTTGCTAATATACTAAGCTAATTCATGGTATGCACAAACAACTTTTGTGTCCTTTGAATGCTAAAAATGAGGTGAACCTGGCATGGACTTGTTTCAGATTATCAAAATGTATAAAACAACTTAGTATTAGAATTTTTTTTTAAATTGGTATGCTAATGCCAATGAAATGCAGCTATCAATTGGTAACAAAAATATTAGCTTTATAAAAACTATGTCCAAAAAGCAGATTCAAGACTGTTTAATTCTGCTAAAAATAAAAATGAACAAAATACTTTAAAAATAATTCTGTTAAACCAAACTTTTATCTGGTATTGCTTCTTTTCTCAAATTTCAGATCCTTTGACTACTCACATGGAAATGGTGACTGAGATTGTTGTGCCTATAGCTTTCACACTCTGCATACTTATCAGTGCTGTTCTACTAGCAATCTTCCTTCGGAAGTGCAACTAAAATTACAAGTTTACACACACTTCATTTTGCATAAGTAATAGAATGCCATGATAGTCTTGCATTGTTTTAAAGGGTTTCCACAGATGCCTTTTTTTCGTAATGCTGTAATGACAGAGAAATATGGCTTTTGTATACACATTGATGTTTCTGTATTTTATTCATTTTTGTCCCCAGGACATAATTTAGAAATATTATCAAAACCAATGCATCTGTTTCAGTATTTTTAATCAAAATTCAATTAGAGATTTTATCTTGAACATTTTGCAAAACATTGTGTGTGTTCTTCATGTTGGCCGAGATGAAATTTATTCAAACCTTTCCAGATTTCAAGGGTAGACTGAAAACAGAACTTTTGAACAATCTGTTCATCAATATACTTTTTAATTATCATGTAAGTGCTGTTTTAAAAAAATGAAGACATGGACTATTTACAGAATATAATTTAAAAAATAACAATTAACTAATTCATCTTTGCATCCTTACAAGTAAAGCATGTTTTATTACCCAAATTTTTATACATTGTGAAAAATATGAGATATTAAATGACTCATCCAAAGCCAAATATGGACCTGTATTCAAAGCCAGGACTAGGAATCCTGATGTCCAATCAATCTAGTGTTCAAACCACCAGGACCTTCTTCATGATACATCTTCTCTTCAGTGTATAAAGATGCGTTCTCTGGGGCCCAAGTAACTTGAAACAAGAATCACCAAATTCAGTCCTGCTGTAAGCAGGGCCAGCTTCATAGGAGGCAGCTGCATACAAAGAACTGTTATTGCTTCCAGCATATGGCCAGTAACCTGCCATTGGCAAATCTGAAATCATTCCTGCCAAAAATGGTATCAAGCTTCATATTCAACTTTCCCTAAGATTTCTTTAGTAAACTACCACAGGTGTGTATGTCAAATTCTAAGGACAGTTGTGTGTTAAAAATAGGCATATTTAGTGCATCCTGTATTCAAGCAGGGTAGATAAAATAGAGGAATTAAAAGACCCAGATTTAAACTGGATCTTTTAAATTAAAATATTAACTTTGTTTAAAAATTACATTTGAATGTATAAGTAATCTATATTACCTATAAGCATTCTATGTTCTATTGATAGCTTAATATTTCATTAATTCATGGAGTCTCCTTGAGCTTTAATTATTTTTATATATTTCTGCCTGATTATATTACTCATTTTTTAAGATCAAAATATGTATACATGTGCTACAAACTTATTTTCATGACAAGGGAGCAAAAGCTGGCCTTTATTTTTTCTTAAATGTTAGTAAAACTTGTCTCCAGTTATTCAATAAACATATACTTAGGGATGTGAAAGGTTAAACACTTAATCATTTAACTGATAAGTGCAGTGATAACTGGTTAGCTTATGAGTTATCCTTTACCTTGGATGGGTACAGTCTAGCAGGTAAGGGGAGGGGGAGGAATGCCCGCTGTACCCCGGCAGGAATCAAAAGGCAGTAGGGCAGGCAGAACGGAGAGAGGGAGGAATCAGGGAGAGCGGCAAGGGGGACTAGTACCCATAACTTAAGTGGAAAACAGGGACTGGCTTAATGACTCACCAATTAAGCAATTAGCTGCTGGTTCCCAGGTGTTCCCTTCCTCCCAGTGCAAGGCTTCACACAGTGTTGTCTGACTGGGCTTGCCTCTTCCCCGCTCTCCCCCAGTCTAAGGGTTTGGGGAGTGGGGAGCAGCTCCCAGCAGCAGGTGTGTCAGAGCTGCTGTTTTATCAATCGTTTAACTGATATAATTAGGAGGAGGTTAAACAAATATTTTTAAATTATATTTATAACCCCAGTTACACTATATAATTACTTAAATGTATATTCTCTGGTTAGCATAGAGTAGTATCATACGTAATGTAGAGGCTATATTTAAGCACAATTTAAATCAATCCACCTCATATTTAAGAAATGTTGAATTTGGAGTGGATGACGAAAGCAACTCAAAAATATAAATGCAATGCCAAAGTATTTTTATGTAAGTTATATAAGTGGTAAAAGAATAACTCTCCAAATAGGTCTTCCTGATGATTCTATCACGTGACACTAGAGAAGATGTGATAATATTGTCTGATTTGGGTCTGTTGCATTGCTCCAAATTTGAATCTTTGCTGTTGCATTCTTAAGCAACGAAACAAAACTTTTAAAACACGTATAGAAGGAAGAACATCATTCAAAAAAAGTTTTTAAAAAATGTATAAAGCACAAGATAGCAACAGTTGCTTTTAAAGGAATTATACTGTATGTTTATTTTTAACAAATGGTTGTAAATTAAAATAAAATTAAAATATAAAAACAAATGGTACATGTCCTGTAGAACTGCAGCTGTATATGTTGCTTCTTAAATACACTACCACAAATAAATACCAAATGAATGGGAGGCAGATAAGCTGACATTCTTCCATTTACTTCCACATACTTTATAAGCATGTTTGTTCAGCAGCGTTCTTTCACGTGAAATGCACATGACTGCACTTAGCTACTGCAATAAAATGCACTCTTTCTTCACTGCTTCCATTAATTGTTGTATCACAAAGAAAGCCTGCAGTAAAAAAAAGAAATTAAATGAAAACATGGCAGTCTAAAAACAACAGATCACAGGGAAAGTTTGACAAAACTTCAAGAACTTCTTACAAACACAAAGTTCCACTAAAATTGATAGGCAGTGAAAATGTATTTTGTAATAAAAGAAACAATATCTTAGATCAGGGATATCAAACATACAGCCCATGAGTTAGATCTGGCCCAGGAAACCACATGATCTGGCAGGTGGGTCTTGGACCTAGCACTCCATATGCTGTTCACAGCACAGGGGGCTGGTCCAGGCTGTGAGCTGTATGCAGCGCTTACAGCGGGCCAATCCTGTGCACAGGCTAGTCCAAATTGGGCTGTGCCAGAGCGAGCATGCAAGGTTGTCTGGCAGGGTGCCCAAGGCACTGTTTACCCCACATTGGCCCCATTCAGTGCGAACAGTGCCCCCAGCACTGGGTCCAGTTCATGCTCCACATACACCACACGCCAGCCCTGCTCTGGGGCTTGTGCTGCCTGCGTGGCACACACTGGACCTCAGCCCACGAGCGCTGCACACAGAACAGGGGGCCAACACACATGGCTATCCATGTGGCTCCGGCACACATGCATAGCCTGGCACTTGATCCTGATGGGCCCTGGAGCCAACTCGCAGGGCTGTCTAGTGCAGCACCACATGCAGCATGTGCTTTCAGCTGACCCCCTAGCTGCTCGCGGTACTTGCAGTGCCAGGTCCGGACCACGCATTTCTTGCAGCACAAGCCCCAGAGCAGGGCCAGCATGTGCCAACTGTGACACAGGGGACTGGCATAGAGGATGCACTGCACATGGAGCCCCACCAGACTGGCCCTGTCTACTGGCTCCAGTGCAGCTGGATCCAGCCTGCAGACTGGCCCAGAGACCCTCAACCAGTCTGCAGGGCCAGATGAGTTTGACTCCCTACTTTGGATCAGTGGCATTTAATCTTCCAGCTCCACAAGCTAGAGATGCATGCAAGGACAATCCACAGCCCAGATCCCAAATGTGGGATAGTTATACAGGCCTGATCCAACACTAGATCTGACTGCCTGCTAGCCAGCATGATCTTGTACATAGGGCCACAGCACTTGGCTGAGGGGTCGCACTCAGAGGGTGGTGGTGGATGGGTCATATTCGACCTGGGGGGAGGTGGGTAGCGGAGTCCCCCAGGGCTCGGTCCTGGGGCCTGCGCTGTTCAATTTCTTCATCAGCGATCTGGATGATGGGGTGGAAAGTAACCTGTTTAAATTCGCTGATGACACCAAAATTTGGGGGGAGGTGAGCACGCTAGCAGGGAGTGAGAGATTGCAGAGGGATCTGGATAGGTTACAGGGGTGGGCTAACAGGAACAGGATGCGTTTCAATACGGACAAGTGCAGGGTGCTGCACTTGGGCAGTAGGAACCAGCAGCACACTTACACAATGGGGAACTCCCTACTCGAGAGCACGGAGGCAGAAAGAGATCTTGGAGTCATTATTGACTCCAAGATGAACATGGGCCGACAATGCGAGGTCATGGTTGGCAGGGCTAACCGGACCTTGTCGTGCATCCACAGGTGCATCTCGAGTAGAGCCAAGGAGGTGATCCTCCCCCTCTACGCGACGCTGGTCAGGCCACAGCTGGAGTATTGTGTCCAGTTCTGTGCGCCCCATTTCAAGAGGGATGTGGACAACATGGAGAGGGTCCAGAGGAGGGCCACCCGCATGATCCGGGGACAACAGGGCAGACCCTACAGTGAGAGACTGCGGGACCTGAACCTATTCAGCCTCCACAAGAGAAGGCTAAGGGGGGACCTGGTGACTGTCTATAGACTCACTAGGGGGGACCAGAAGGGTTTGGGGGAGACGCTGTTTCCCCTAGCGCCCGCTGGCATAACAAGGAGTAATGGGCACAAGTTGATGGAGAGGAGGTATAGATTGGACATCCGCAAAAACTACTTCACGGTTAGGGCGGCTAGGAGCTGGAACCAACTTCCAAGGGAAGTGGTGCTGGCCCCTACCCTGGGGGTCTTTAAGAAGAGGCTGGATGCCTACCTGGCTGGACTCGTTTGAGTCCCATTTCTCTTTTTGGGGTTTTTTGTTGTTCTCCCGCCCTGGCGGGGGGTCGGGCTAGAAGATCTACTAGGTCCCTTCCGACCCTTAATCTATGAATCTATGAATCTATGAATCTGGGCCTCTGGGACTCAGCACAGATCTGGAAATGTGGCAGCAGGGCAGCTGCAATTAAACGCTGCCATGGGTCCCCTGTTGCCCAATTTCTGGACCCGCAGGGAGACTCATGGGCTAGATGACATGCTGTTGTGGGCCAGAGGTTGAGCATCACTGCCTTAGATCGATAAGAAGGCTTGCCGCCATTGTCAGACTAACAAACAAAAGGCCAAATGACATATTTGGTCTGTACAGCAGAATGGGGTTTGAAAAATATTTCAGCATTTATGTAAAACAATCTTATTGAATGAGTTACTAAACAACCATTTAAATGAATTTTCCCTTCAGATTTCAGTAGAATATTAAAAAATTATAGGTAGCTCTGAAAATTTTGTACCTCCGATGGTTACAAGTAAGATATAAAGATTATTTTAACTGGAAGTCCACTTTCATCTGTTTACATTGTACATTCAGATGCACTTCGTTTCACTTTCACTGGGCATTTGTACACAAGCTTGCACCACATCACCGCATGCATCGCATGCATTTGTATAACTGGTGAAATGCACGTCCACACTGAGAAAATGGCAGCAGCACGCTTTTGAACTAAAACACAAAGATGCTTTAGTTCAAAAGTGCACCACTGCCATTTTCTCAGCCCTGATATGCATTTCACCATTTACACAAATGCATGCGGCACAGCACCGGGCACATCAGCTCCTGGGCGCCAGATCTCCAGCATGTCGGAGCAAACAAATGTAGGTGTATAAATGTCCATTATTTATATAAAAAGTTCATTTGTCCCTTTCTGAAGAGACTAATAAACAAGGAAAATACAGTATATCCTCCTTCAAAGGTGCTGTTTAAGAAACTTGATTTAAAAATACAAATTAAAATATTAAAAGTTGGCAGTGTCCCTTTAACATTTTCCCATACAATAAATGGTGCCTTACCTAAGTTGTTCACAGTCATATGTTCAACTGGAGCGTTAGTGCTAAGTTGCCATGTTGTTTTAATCTCCCTTTGTCCATGTCCACTACTTATTTCCACCCTCCATATCTGTGGGTACTCACTGCAGGAATCAAATAGCACAAAAATACAAATGAACAATTATGTACTCAGTCATGATCCAAAATTTCAGTATTACAAGACCTGAGGTATGGCTTACTTTTGATAGAACTTATTGACTACTGCTGGCCTCACTGGAAGCTGGAACACATGTTTCTCATCCAGAGGGTTTTCCTTGTAATATTTTATGCAGGACCTATAATAACAAGAATTAAATAGTGTTTCATAGATTTATAGATTCTAGGGTTGGAAGGGACCCCAATCGGCCATCTAATCCAATCCCCTGCCCCCGGCAGGCAAGAAAAGGGTCACCAAACCTGGGATCATGTGATCCCAGACAGGTGCCTGAACAGTCTCCTCTTGAAGACCCCCAAGGAGGGGGTGAGCACCTCCTCTCTTGGGAGCCCATTCCAGATCCTGGCAACCCTGACCGTGAAGAACCTTTTTCTACTGTCCAGTCTAAACCTACTCTCCAGTAGCTTATGGCCATCGTTCCTTGTTGTTCCAGGGGGTGCCCTGGTGAACAGATCGTCGCCTACTTCATGTTGCTCTCTCCCTTTATGAACCTGTACACCGCCACAAGGTCCCCTCTTAGCCTTCTCTTGGAGAGGCTGAAGAGGTTAAGGTCCCTCAGCCTTTCCTCGTAGGGCCTTCCCTGAAGACCTTCAATCAGGCGAGTGGCCCTTCTTTGGACTCTCTCCGCATCCCACTTGAACTGCAGCGTCCAGAACTGGACACAGTACTCCAGCTGCGGCCTGACCAGTGCCACGTAGAGAGGGAGGATCACCTCCCTGGACCTGTTTGTGAAGCACCTACAGATGCATGACAAGGTGCAACTGGCTCTGCCGACTACTTCATCGCATTGACAACTCATGTTTATCCCAGAGTCAATATTGACTCCAAGATCTCTTTCTGCCTCAGTGGTGCTGAGAAGGTTGCCCCCCAGCCTATAGGTATGATAGCAGTTCTTTCTCCCTTGATGCAGCACTTTGCACTTGTCCCTTATACTCTTTAGATAAATGTTTCTGCAACAATTCAACACAAGAAAAACAAAGTACAAAACTAACCAAGTCTTCATGCTGGGCCTAAAGCAAAAGATCAACAGTTCCTATTATTTGCAGGAGATCCAAGTTCAGAAATGTCTTTGGCTCTGGTTCCAAAACCAGTGGAAAATGAGGATATCACAAACAGGATTTAGAGAATCTAAAGAAGCCTATGGACCAACAAGAGGCAAAGCACTGCTAAACCTGGTACTGGCAAAGGGGGATGATCTAGTCAGCAACCTAATGACCGAAGGGAAGCTGGGAGACAGTGACCATGAGCTGATCAATTTCACTATCCACTGAAAAGCTGGCAAGTCAGTCAGCAATGCAGAAGTCCTCAACTTCAGACAAGCTCAGGAGGCTTGTTGGCGAGGCCCTAAGGGACTATGACCCAAAGGGGAGGGGAGCTCAGGATGAGTGGTTGCTCCTCAAGGGAGAAATCCTGAAAGCATAAGCAAGGTCTATCCCATCTCGGAGGAAAAGTAGCAAAGGGGCACAGCAGCCTCCTTGGCTCTGCAGGAAACTTGTGGGCCTCCTGCATCTAAAAAGAAAGACCTATAAAGGATGGAAGACTGGAACCACCTCAAAGAAGGGAGTACTCTGCACTGGTCTGGACCTATAGGGAGTGAACCAGGAAAGCCAAGGCTGCAACTGAACTCCAACTGGCTACATGTATCAAAGACAATAAAAAGTCCTTTTTAGCTGGAGAAAAAGCAAGGGTAATGTTGGACCCTTGCTAAACCAAAATGGGACGACTGACAATCGACACCCAGGAAAAAGCCAACATGCTCAATGGGTATTTTGTGTCAAGTTTTCACCAGCCCCAAGGGACGGCCCTGCTCAATATAGTACGGGATGGCCAGGGTGAGGGAGAATAGTTACCCTACATCAATGCAGACCATGTGAAGGAACACCTTGAGAGGCTGGACACCTTCAAGTCAGCTGGCCCAGACAGTTTACCCCTAGGGTACTTAAGGAGCTCGCAGGCATCATAGCTCAGCCACTGATACGGATCTTCAAGAACTCGTGACACTCAGGTGAAGTGCCCGATGACTGGAAGAAAGCGAATGTGGTGCCCATCTTCAAGGAAGAGACGAAAGTAGATCCGCAGAACTACAGGCCTATCAGCCTGACCTCTATCCCTGGGAAGATCTTGGAAAAAATTATCAGAGACCATTCTTGACAAACTGGCTGATGGCAACATCCTGAGGGATAGCCAGCACAGGTAGGTCTTGCCTAACCGATCTCATTGCCTTCTATGACAAGGTGACATATCACCTGGACAAGGGAGAAGAGATTGACATCCTGTATCTTGATTTAAAAAAAGCCTTTGATCTAGTATCTCATGATCATCTCATAGAAAAACTGGCCAACTGTGGCCTCAGCTACATCACAGTCCAATAGCTGGGGAATTGGCTCTGAGGTTGGACCCAGACAGTGGTAATAGATGGAAGTAAATCGTCACAATGCACCATGGCCAGTGGGGTCCCCCAAGGCTCCGTCCTTGGGCCTATACTCTTTAACATCTTCATTAATGATGTGGACATTGGTGTCAGAAGCAGACTGGCCAAGTTCACCGATGATGCCAAACTTTGGGGTAAAGCGTCCACACCTGAGGACAGGCTTGTGATCCAGGCCAACCTAGACAGGCTTAGAAAATGGGCGGA